CAGTTAAGAAAAGTGTTGTCAATATCATTGATTGGTAGGCTAATGAGGGGGAGTATCAATATCTCATTCAACAAACCTATAAAAATCCGTTGAGTTTATGCAAAAAATGTCAATAATCAGGGGCTCCTGGTATTCTTCTATATATGTATATACGGCAATTCATATAAATAAATAATTCTACACGTTAACCTTCAGTAACTTTTTTTATTTCCATCAGCAGTGCTAATATTTTGGGGAAACTAACAAATTGATTATAAAGTATTCGGTAGAGAAACTGGCGAATGGGTACACGGCAAGCGTTTGGAGCGTGGGAACGTTGATGTGGATTAGAATTGAGATAAAATGGTAAGAAAACAAAATTGCATACTAACAATATAGTATATAGTGTTCGAGTAGTATTAATTAATTACAATTACACAGTTATTTTTATTAGATAGTGATTTTTTATTCATTTATTTAATAAATGGTTTATCAGCTGTGACGCCTGAAAAGCGTTGCATGTAACTTAGCCGCACTGAGTATTTGGTATTTAGCAATTTGATTTTCTTATTATTACTAATCGATGAATTGAAACCGCACTATTGTTGTCTCTTTTCCTCTAACTGTTGTCAATACATACCTTTTGTAGTTGGTAATTGCTTTGTTCTTTGCTATCTCTTTTTAACAAAATAGCAGGAAAAGTAATATCAAAGGTTTGGCTTAAATATAGCTGATAGCGTATAACGTATGACGATAAAACGTATATTCTGAATTATAACAACAGTCATTGATAATTTCAAATATAAGTGAAAAAGTATTTAAGTTTTGTCCGGCCGAACTTTTTATACCGTCCTCCATGAGGTGGACATTGAATATACTTAAAATCCAACGGGACTTTTATAAATTGGTTTTGTTATGTCCACAGGAAATGAAATATTCAAATTTAGGTTTTAAAATTGGAATAAAATGTGCACAAAATCCTCAAGGTACCGAATATTAGATGGTAGCGTTATATGGCGCTATACGAAAAAGTGATACATCCAATTTCGAGATATATAGTGATTTCAACAGACGGACGTTGTTTAATCCACATTGAGGTTTATTCGGATCAAGAATATATATAATTCACGGGGTCTCAAGCAATTTAATATTCACTCCATCTTATGGCGGAGAGTTTATGACCAATATTGGTCCCCCGAGATAGACCTCTTAATCATTTGTGGTTGAAAAAGTTAGAGTGTTTATCTCATATCTAGCAAACATTTGATGTTCGATCGTTTTCGTCTCTTTTTTATCGCCGCATAGACTGCTGAATTCTTAGTGGCAGTAAGATATATGACGATAAACATCCTTATCTAATAATTTCTGTCGTATATGTACAATAAACTGTCGATAGAATAAACGCAGCACTGATTTGAAATCGGACAAAATTAAATTAGTGATCTATATAGATATATTCACCTACTTTAATTTATCTAAATACATGCTATTCTGATATATGCAAGATTTCATGTCAATTCGGTTGAATAGAGTCGTTATATGAAATCGAACAAACGTATTGACATGTGCACCATTTTACAGAAAATCGGACGAACGAGTATATAGGAGCCAATTCTAAATCTGAACCTGAAAATAAATTTCGACTCAATTCAGTTCGATAATCCAAATTTCGTCTGATCGGACAAAATATTGGTGTTTAGTACACCATTTACTATATTATATTATAGTATGGTATTCCAAATTTCGTTTTAATAGGACAAACATTGGGAGTTTAGTGCACTATTTACATAAAATCGGAAGATCATATATGGGAGCCTATATCTAAATCTGAACCGGTTTCAACGAATCTTATCACACATTATTCATGGCTCAATTAAATACTCTATGCACAATTTCGTGTAAATTGAAAGAAATATGGAGACTTTGGTCCATAAAAATAAAATCGGTCGAAAGTATATATAGGAAGTTTAGTGCACAATTTATATAAAATCGGATGAACAAATATATCGGAGCTAAATCTGAACCCAAAATCTTAATCTGTCAAACGGACAATCATTAATAGACTCAGAAAGTGATTCTATGGATATTTTAAAAAGAAAACATGGGTCTCTTTCGTTTCCTTTTGCCTGTTACAAATATATTCACAAGGGCTTAATACCCTGTAGTGAAAGGTATAAAAAAGAGACCTGATTCTGCAACGGTCTTTGGTGATCAATCTCTCTCTCTTCCTTGCTCTGGGTCCTCGGAATATATGAAGTCCTTGTGAAGATTGATCATCTGTTGTTTGTTATAATAAGTGACCAATTTCTGCCAACCTTAACATGCAGGTTGCTTTATTATTTTATCAAACTGCGCCGAAGTCAATGGTCTTGTGGTTAACGCTACGAAAACCAAATAGGCGCTCTTAACTAGGAAACGTAAGATCCCAAACATTCCCTCTGCTCTTCTTGTATGCAGCTCTAATTGGAAGCTAAATACCTAGGAACAGTCTTTGACCACAAATAAACATGGAAAATGAATATAGAGGAAAGTACTACGAGAGTTCTAGTGCCAATTTACACATGCAAGAACTTCATAGGTAAGAGCTGTAGATTAAAACTGGAGATCGCACCTTGGATGAACGTTACGGTTGTTCTCTCTATACTAACCGTATTATTTGCAAGTTCAAATGAACTCTCTAGTCCAAACTAAATAATGTGCAGCGATGGACAAAGCTCCTTATAGTTGAGGCCTTCAGAAATACACAGAAAGCTGCTTTGGAAGTAATTCTTAATCGCCAGCCACAGGATGAATTGTTTCACATCTAAACAACTGAATGTGCTGCGAGGTTTAAAGTAACGGGATCTTAGTAAACATAACACTCTTGGCATGGTCGTATATTTAACACGATTGGAAAACGTGAATGAATGAATAATTGATGCAAAGTGACTACATATCTCCTATCTTCGACTTTTAGCATATCAATATAATTATTCCGAACAGGGAATCCCAAGGGAAGGCAATAAGGTGTACTGCGATGGCTTAAGTATCCGGTGTGACGAACTTCAAAATCCATCTGACCGCAAGGTTTACGATGTAGATCTACCTCATTGTTCTGCAGGATCAGGTCTGTCACATCTTATTTGAATGGCATTGGAGTAGACTATTGGTGAGCTTCTAATTGTCAGTTCCATAGCGTACATATCAAGTAAATTGTATCCATATATCCAGAGGATTATGTTATGTTACATACAATTCTGTTGGAAAATGTTCTTTTGGACCATGAAAATGGGCCGGGTTCTTTATATGAAATCATAACATGGGCGTATATTGAACATTTTCTGCGAATACGTTTTCCGCCCTCCAACAGCACTTATCGCAAATGGGGCGTTATTTTTATATGGAGACTATACCATAACGTGGAGCAATTTTACCCTCTACTTATGTGCGAAAATGTGGTTAAAAGCTTTAAAATACAATGATTGTGTGAGATCTTTATATGGGACTATGGCAAAACATTGGTCTATGTTGATATGTCTATAAATTGTTTTTCTGTGTTCAAAAACTCTGTATGCCAAATTATCTCATCTGTTGAAAATGAGGTTTAAAACTTCTAAGTTACGATGGCGGGGCTGATTAAACAATAACAACACTTCGAATACTCTTTCGTATGATCTTATAAATTTAAGATAGGAAAAAAAACTTGAACCTACAGCACTTTGGTGGTTTGTTTAATTCCTTACAAAATTATTAATCTTCAGTGATTCCAGCAATTCCTCCAAATGTACAGATTCATTATTATATACTTTGCCATAGTATGGTGAGAAAACTATTAGCTTAATTTTATTTTGCATTACTATCGAAATCTTTCGATAGTAAATGTATATTTATTTTACAATAACAAATTAACTACAAAGATCCATAAGACGCAATAATATACAATCAACATACACATCCCTTTTATGTTGATGGCTCTACGGTTTTATTGTGTTTGGCAACAGCTTCCTGGGCTTTACTCAATTTTAGTTGTCCCTCGGCGGCACGTGAACGCATCTCCTCTTCTACGGATTTGTTAAGGGTTTTCGAAATAGCCTGCTTAATTTTTTGATGTTCATTGAATTTGGATTTCTTGGCCTGAATAGGGGCATCTGTAAGCAAAAAATATGAAATCAATTCAGTTCTTTATGTTTACAAAAAAAAGAATTACTTGATCTCCTTGTAAAAGCGGCACTGTTCTTTTGTTTCTGTTTCTTCTGGATACTGGCTGGAAGCTTAGCCTTTTTGAATTTGCCTTGGACCATTTTGTTGAAAATAAATTTTAATTTTTGTTAGAAAAATAAAAAACGTGTAGTGTTATTGTTTTGTTTTGAAATGCAAGAGAAATAAGAGAAATAAATAGTAGAGTTGGGTAGTTCCGGAACGAACTAGTTCATTGGAACTATTCCGAGAAAGGAACGAACGGAACTAGTTCCAGTTCTTTAATTAATATAATTCCTTTCTCTGATCCAGTTCCTTTTTTGAACTATTTGAAGCAAAGGAACTGTATGGAGCAAAGGAACTATATGTGGAAAAACGAAAAAAAATAATAAAAGAGAGAGAGAGAGAGAGATTCAAAAGAACAAGACTCCAGCCTTCATAAAATTCGCTTGTTAATCGTCGTTCTGCCAAGACTCAAGCGACGTCGTACGCAAACCTTCGCCAACAAATGGTCTGTTCCAGTACTTTTTATACCCTCCACCATAGTATGGAGGGTATATTAATTTTGTCATTCCGTTGTAACTCATCGAAATATTCATTTCCGACCCTATAAAGTATATATATTCTTGATCAGGGTAAAATTCTAAGACGATCTAGCCATGTCCGTCTGTTGTAATCTTCTGAAGGAATTGAGATAGGGTGCTGAAATTTTGCATAGGGTTGTCTTTTGTCTGCAGGCAAGTCAAGTTCGAAGATGGGAAAACGGTACACGTTTATGCATAGCCCCCATATAAGGGTACCCCCCAATTTTCGGTATTTTGGGGTTCTTGAGCGCGTTTTTCACGAATTTGTAGTAAATGTATCCACAAAAAATTATAAATATAGGTCCACTTTTTCTTGTAGCCCCCATATAACGGTACCTCCTAATTTTCATTATTTTTTGGGTTTTTATCGTATTTTTCACCGAATTGGCTGTAATTTAGTATTTTGAGTTCTTAGCAGGTACCAAATCTCTCCACAAAAAAATTTAAATATAGGTCAATTTTTTCGGATATCCCCCATATAAGGGTACCCCCCAATTTCGGTATTTTGGGGTTCGTGAGCGCGCTTTTCAACCGAATTCGCTGCAATTTTGTACATTGGGTTCATATTGCGTACCAAATATCTCTACTAAAAATTATAAATATCGGCCCACTTTTTCTGGTAGCCCCCATATAAGGGCACCCCAAATTTTCGGTATTTTGAGGTTCTTAAGCGCGATTTTCAACCGAATTCGCTGAAATTTGGTACAGTGGGTTCATATTGGGTACCAAATATCTCTATTTAAAATTATAAATATCGGTCCACTTTTTCATTTCAAATACCTGTCAGTATACCTGTGGTGGAGGGTATCCAAAGTTCGGCCCGGCCGAACTTAACGCTTTTTCACTTGTTTAATAGTAAAGCTAGCAAAAGGGAAACATTTCAAGTCTCAGAGTACAAAATAATTTGAAAAGTTCGGGAACGCAAATCTAGTAAATATGCCAAAATTAGATGGCAATACTTCAAAATCAACATAACAAAAAGTTTACAAAGAGAAAGCCATTTTGTTTTGTGCTCTCTTAAATTTGATTCAATGCTTTACCAGTTTTATGGGTTCAGGAACGGTTTTCGAGTAAAAAGTTGCAAAACTTGTAAAATTAGTAGATTCTTTTAGGTTTTGGAACGGAGCTAAAATAAAAACGACGACTGAAAAAATTGAAAAACGTTCCACCTGCTAACGAATGGGAGGAGAAGACAAAATGGCCGATAAAGATGAACTCAAAATGGTATAACCGAAAGTTTACGAATGAGGTTGATAGTACGTTTACATTTAACCGGATTTCGTTAACCCAGTGGGTTTCAATTGTCATTTCCTTTGCATATATGTCAAATAAATCCTCATAAAGTAGGTTAACCCGGTAAAAAGTTCTAATGTACAAGGAGTTTAAGGCAAATTATGATTAGGGATAAGTAAATCGACTTTCGAATTTGAGATGTTAGTTTATCGATTTTTGCTTAGAATTTTTAAAAATGGGCCTTGGAACGACCAAAAAAAAAAACTGTTAAAATTCGATTGCATATAAACGTTAAATATTTATTACCCACGTATTATAAATATACAATGTGAATATACTCCCCGAAGTCTACCCTTCAACCATCACAACTGAAGAACATAACCATTGTAGTAATTATCTTAATTCGTATTGGAAGTACATAGAATGCAACCTATGTCAAAGATGAGTTCTTCTGGAATTTTTGATTTCTTTCTGTAGCCGGCTAAAATGGGGATTTTGTATTCATTCAAGGCCATATTGATGTACTTCTCAGTGCTCCGGTAATTAGGATCGACTCTAATCGCTGTACGCTACTTATTTTGGCCAGCAGTGTACGCTTTTTGACCTCCTGTCACAATACAAGGCAACCATATGCAAGCATGGGGAGTACAACCGTTGCGTACAGCCACGTTACTCTGTTCAATAGATGAATTGATAATTGCGCTTTCTAGCATTCTATCAATGCATTCCATTATTGAAGAAGATACACCTGAACATTCGAGAGCAGAATTGATATCTTCCAGCTTCACATTGTTGAAGGCTCGTTCGAATTTAGCGTATTCCTAATTATGAAGTCTAGTAACTTTTCGAGTGTCTTGAGTAGAAAGGAAAAGAGGCTAATCGGTATATAGTCCTTAGGCAGCATACGACTCGGATTTTAGAGTTGATATTGCAGGATTTGATGGCTTTAAAAGCCGCCTGACTATCCACAAAGATCTCTGCATCCAGACTTTTTATCAATTCCACTTTCTTCCAAATAGCTTAGAAAACACTACAGTTGCTATCCAGCATGTAGGTAAGTTCAAGACCTAGCCTTTCACAGTAGACGCCAGCCCCTGTGCCTTCTTCCATTTTGGATCCGTCTGTATAAAAAGCCAGACCGTCCAGAGGAGGCTTTCTACGGTTCCAGTCGTCTCTACTGGGGATAATGACATCTATATCGTCAAATCCTAGGACTGGTGATATATAGTCGCTTAGTTTTACGCGTTGGTCCTATGTCATATCTATTTCGTTCGGGATACATCCGTGCCCGTAGGTACAATTTCTTCCATCTTGGATCCGTCTGTATAAAAAGCCAGACCGTCCAGAGGAGGGTTTCTACGGTTCCAGTCGTCTCTACTGGGGATAATGACATCTATATCGTCAAATCCTAGGACTGGTGGTATATAGTCGCTTAGTTTTACGCGTTGGTCCTATGTCATATCTATTTCGTTCGGGATACATCCGTGCCCGTAGGTACAATTTCGCCATAGATTTTGTTCATGCACCGTGTTATACAACCAGTGTATAATGGATGGTTTTAACGCTCAGCTCATAGTGTGAAATCTGCCGTCTCATCGCCCGTTCCTCGGCGTTCCTATTCCATCCTAATTGACAGTCCAGGATTGTGACAAGGTATTTTGCACTCCATCCAGTGTTGGTGGAGCAAAGACGACTAGCTTACGTTTCCTAGTGAACATTTTCACTTTATGATTCGAGTAAATGTGATCTATTTATTGTTTTTGTTTATAAAAACTCATGTCCACCATATGCATGAATATTTTATTTTCAAAACTTGTGGAATAAATGTTGTTAAATAAATTAATACATTTGTTAGCATTAATGCTAAATGGGCAACATAATTCAATATGCTTAGCAAAAATAAATGACACCATTTAAATTATTCTATAAATTAAAATTCATTTAATAATGATTGTTTGTATATTAATAACTTATACATTTCAGTGAATTATATACTAAATATAATTAATAATGTTAATAGATGTAAATGTGAAGTGAATATTATTTCAAAATAACTACACAACAAGTGTAGTTATCACAAATCAAAGTCTTCTATGAAAATACTTAAAAAGAAATTAAATAAATAATTTAATTTATTGTTTTTCGTTTTTGTTTTGTATTTAATAGAGCATTTTGAATGCAGTGTTTCGATTTGTTTTTGTAGATGCTTGTGTTTGTATTGTAATGCTTGCAGTATACAATTTAATAAAAGAAAATAACATACGAAGAGGACCAAATTTTTTGGCAAACAAAAAATTTATGTATAATATGCTATTTGTTCTTGCGTTGCGTGGTCCAATTCTAAATTTTGTAGTTTTGAATAAATACTAATCCGTATACAAATAACTGAAGATAAAAGATATATCGATAAACAAAATTTAACTTGTTAGTTTGCTGACAATAATACCAGTCACTATTAAGCCTATTATCACAGCAATTGCTAAAAGTATTAAAATTTTACGTCTGTAACTTTGACGGTGGCTAGCAGCTTTGGCCAATTCCTCACGACCGAGTTCAACTTCATTGGCGGTATATTCAACGGAAGTCTCAATACGTTCTGAAAGAAAGAAAAAACAACATTGTGTTAACAAAATAGAAAATAGGAATCAAATTAAATTTGTTTTTGTACACTTACCCACATCTTCACCCTGTGCCTGCACCAAAGTATTTATGGTACGCATTATCGAATTAACATCTAAAATATCAGCCTCTATTTGTTTAATTTGTCTTTCACGATCGACCATCATGTCGTGTTCGAATTGCATTTGCTGCTGTTCCATTTGCATTTGTCGCTGCAACAATACCTGCCTGTCGGAATCATGCTGCTGTTGTTCGGATTGCATTTGATCGTGCATATGGGCCAACTGGGTCTGTGTATAGGTTTGACGCATGGCCGTGGCAATGCGTTTCTGCACGGCAGAATATTTCTCAACCACTGTACAGAAATCATTGGTCAATTTTTCCAGCTGTAATTTTTGTTGTTTGTCACCGCGACGCACAATGGAGGTTAGTCGCTGCAAATCAACACTGGTGGCCTCAATGCGAGGATTTACTTTGGTGTGTATGTCATGGGCCTTATCCCGTGTAGACTGTTGATCTCGCGGTGTACCAATGATTTGTAATATCTTATCCAATTGCTTGTATGATGAATTAATGGCCTGTATATTGTGAGCAATATCTTCGCTGAGTGACATAAATTCCGTGGGACTGAATCCCGAAAAATTAACATCGGGAATTGATGCTGCTGCCGCGCCACCACCACCAGCCATTATATTTGCCGATGTACTGGAAGTGGCACCGTAATCACGATGTGCTGATGACATGGTATTGAGATTTTTCGACATCTGCAATGCTATACAATGGAGATATGGTGGTGCTCTGTTTGAGCGTGGTGAGGCGTGGTATCACTCTCTCGCTCTTTCTCCAGCCGTATACAAAACCTCAGACAATGCGAGTTTGAGTTTGGTTTGTAATTACAAATTGGTTTTTAATTACAAAATTTCGGTTTCTCGATAAGTACTCATATGTATATATGTATGTTTGTATTCTTGTATATTTAGTGAGCGTGTTTGTTTATAACTGCGGAAAAAAGTTAAGTAAACAAATTTGTATGAGGAGTTAATAGAATTTTTAGTGTGACAAATTTATAGATGAAATTCAAAGGCCTAAGAAGTTGTTTGAAGAAATAAATCAGGTTTCGGTTGAAAATAATGTGTTGGGATAAATATTTTTTTAATTCTGAATAAAGCAAAGAATATGTAAAAATTGTCCTTTCAAACAATTATTAGAATAGGTTTCCCTTTTTTGTATAGACCCACCCCCTAACTAATTGATGTTAACAGACAGTATAACGATGGCATAATATCGTATATTGCGTAGCAGAATAATGAACTGAAATTCTAATCGCTCAGAAGCTGTTTAAAGATAATACATCTGGTTTCAAATGAAAAGAATTTGCTGTCGCATTTTTTTTTGGTATTCCAATCATCATCATGAGACAGATTAACGATAAGTATCCCTTTTTATTTAGAACTTATTCTGATTTTATTTATTTGGATAATTTTGTAATTTGTTGAATGGAAATTGCTTCTAAAAGGGGTTAGTATAGATTAACTTTTTTGATTAACTGTATATATCTATCTATATGAAGTCTAACAAATGTAGTATTTTCGCTCTCTACGGGATAATTAAACAGTGCCCAATACATTAGTCATAGCCTGTGATTTTAAATGTCGGGACACTGACTTGAAAGTTGGACGACTTCATCCAAGGATATAAAAAGGGTGCCCAACAAGTGATGTTATATGGAAATACCTCGAATTCCGGTAGATCTCACTTTTGAAGAATGATATTCGTTGACATTTGACAAGTTAAAACCATTAAACCACAAATGTCGGGACACTTGAAAGTTGAACGACTTCATAAAAGTATATATAAAGGATGTCCAACAAGTGATGTTATATTGAAATACCTCGAATTCCGGTAGATCTCACTTTTGAAGAATGATATTCGTTGGCATTTGACAAGTTGAAACCATTAAACCACGAACAAAGTGAACGTTTTTTCAGAAACATATAGGAAGTTGCCAATCTCCTACTATGTGCGTTTCCTGGTTGGCAGATGGGAAGGGGGTTTGTACGATGTGCAGAGTGGAGCTGGCCTAGATAAAATGGATCGGGGTATTGCCCTTAAAATAGTCAAAATAGTCAACTAAGATGGGAAAAAAATAATGGAAAAAAATTACGGCGCAGGGAGTTAAACACCCAATACCGGCGGCAATCGTTGGTGAGACCACAAGCTACGTGTCGTCGAGATCATGCGATGGTGATCCGTCTGTTCTAGGTGTGGATGCCTTGGCACCTGCATCTTTTTTACCCAAAAAAAATGACGACCGGAAATTCAAATTGACTGATGCAAATCAGTCTACGACTGACAGGACTGTAATTCTGGGAGGGGACGACATACATGGGAGGAACAGAGTAGGGAACTCTTCGACCAACTAACTGGACAGGATTGTACCGGAAAAGCAAAGTGTGGTTACACTTCCAGAGGAACTGCTACTAAATCTTACGCTGACTGATGATGAGCTGGACACTACGGTGATTCCAGCCACGTCTACACAGGAGGATTGCTGTAGCATCAACGACCGAACTCAAGTCTGACTCCAACAGGACCTATGTCGGCAAATGCCGAAAATAAGCTTCAAAGACAGACCGCGACTGAAGCGATATCCGACGATGGGAAATCTATCGAGACACCAGCAACGGACAACGATTCAAAGGTAGGAACTGCCCGAGAAGCATCCGATGTCAAGCACTACAAACGTGCCGTATCGCATCTTCGCATGTGCGTAGGACGAGATGAAAATTTGCTTTCGGAGAGGGAGATTCATCTCATCAAGGGCAAAATGAGATTCGTAAGGAAGTTCGAAAGAACATACCCGCAAGCTCTTCATTGTGAGCTCAAGATCTCCCTCCCGAAACAAACAGCTCGATCAAAAGTCTCTTTTCTAATTCGAGAAAAGAAGTAGAGTTGGCGAACCCCAATATCTCTGAAAAAGGTGTGGAGCTGACTTCGGATCCGAAGCCTAGTCCTAGTCAAAACGCAATGGAATATGCTGTTGAGCACACTCCGACACAACTGTCATCCTTAAGGGTGTGAAGGGCTCTGCCTCGAAGTCCGATTCTACGCCAACTGACAAAGGTGAAGAGGTTGGTACTAAGGCTTTGAGTAGCCCCACCGTTGGTCGAAATAGGAAGGTCAAAAGTCCGGCAAGGAACCATCGTCTTCTGGAAGAGTAAATACTGTCCCGCAGAATAAATATGTAAAGCGCATTCGCTCATCAGAAGGTCCGCAAGCTTCACCCAAAAAGACGATGACTTCGCTTCTGCTATCTATGATACTCCAAAGATTTTTCTATAGGGTAAAGATCTGATGATTATGTTGACCATTATAAAGCCCTAATTTTTTGACTCCCGCAGCCATTATCAAGCTGAAACATCCAAACAAGCGCTATAATCCATTTAAAAAGTATATATAAGAACTGAAATAGTTGTAAAAACCAAAACATAGTAATTATAACGTCCAAACAAAATTTGAGACAATTCCCTTATCCATAAACAATTGTTCCTCACTAACTTGTATCCAATGTATTTAAACAGAAAAAACATTATGTTTTTTGAAGACGGACAGAAAAAGTAAAAAAAAAAAACTAAAGAAAGTACCTTTTGGGGGAAGATTTTGCATTTGAAATTGGGGTTCAATCGCTGATTTTATATTCGATTTCGATTTAAAAACATGTTGATTTTTTTATTTTTTTTAATATGGGAAATATTTTCCAAGTTTGTTCGATAGGGAAGAGATTTGTGAGTAGTGGAATGAAACAGTATTGAAATTATACTCCCAACTTGATTTTGGGAATCTGTAAATTAATTTATTTCTAGTTACATTTTCAAAATTGTTTAAATAAATAGGAAATCTTGTTACAACGACATTTCACTTTCGTTGCTGGAACTTATCCTACCCTGTATTATTGTACGATGATAACAACTAAAATGTGTTGGGGGGTTTCAAAACGGCAACTAGCATGCTAATTGAACACGTAAAACAACTTTTTTTATTATATATCATTTGTTTCAATTTTTCATTTCAGTCTGCGGCTTTTGGATTAAAATCTAATCAGCAACTCTTAACAACTCTATGTTTTGTTTGGCCATTTCAAACTGCACGTATTTTAGATAACATATAGCGCATAAAACATTCTTATTATATTACGTTGTGTTTTGCCCGTGACGTTAAGAATTAGTCATAAATGAAATGGTTTTAACTCACCCCTCGACGCTACTGCCTTTATGCCGTAGCGTAACTGATTTTTGTGCACAAATGCAGTCACAACAAAGAATTTCTATTGAGTTTTGTAATTGCACACTGCTGCTGCAGGGCCACTCATAAACAAACAAACGTCAATGAATCATAAAATGATGAATGCAACAAAGTTCATAAAAACAAATTAAATTTGAAGGAAAAAACAAATCTTTGTTTTTCAATATGAAAATAGAGAGCAGTGACTTTTTGTTTGTCCCGCCACAATGATTAAATAACAACAATAACTCATGACTTACTCTAAATACCACAAGAATAAATGAAATGCTTATTACAACAGTTGATAAACCGACTATTACAAAATTAGAAATGAAACTAAAGCTCTATTTCCCGTTGTATAGAATGTAATACGATATTAATGGCTAGAAAAAAATATATAAATTCTACAAATACGTTTCTATGATTTCTTATTAGAGAAGATATGATGTTGAGATATTGGGTGGGATCGACAAAAATATATTACCATTAGATCAAAAACTTGTTAGTTTTAATGTTAATTTAATTATGTTAACTTAATTTAATTAGGTTAGATTGTGTAGGAGTAGTTTTTATTATGGTTTTTATGATTGAATGAATTTATGTTTTAATTTTTTTAATTTTTATTGTTATTTTTTTGGGGTAGTTTATCCTTTATTAGGTTAAGCACATCATATGCATTTTGTAATTTATCTTTAATGGGCCTGGAGGCTTTGAATTACAAGTTAAATAAAATTGAATAGAATATATAAAATCAATTGACAATATTGAAGCATATAAAATCTGATTCTCATATTCAAAATTCGGATGCAAAATATTAAAACTGTTCCCTAATTTGAAATCAAATTAAATAATGATATATATTTTATTTTAATCCGTTGTACCCTAATGTACAAAAAAATACCCACATTCATATCAATTAACAACAAAATTCTGTTATTTTACACATATCATTTGTATTATCTATCTTCGGTGTGTGTTCCTGTTTGAATTCAGTGTCAACAGAGAGCAAAAACCTGATGATCCCCCACACAAGAAGTATAACAAACATACAGTATGTCATTTTTATAAGGTTTCTTTTGCAGGAAATTTTTTCTCAAAAAAAAAAAAAAAAAAAAGCTACAGACGAAGTGTTAACATGTTAAGATAAGAATATGGAGCACATGGACGTAAAAACCGCATGACAAAGTTTTCCATGAAATTTAATTTCTGTAGCATTTAAAAAAAAATTAAATATTGGAAAGGAAAAAAAAAAACAAAAACAAAAAAACGACATACATAATTCATTGTGCATCAATTTGTTAAGAAAAAATACACGTTTATTTGAATGAATTACATTACATTTACATAAAACAAAAAAGTTTATTGACTGTCTGTGATTTGTTGTAATGAAATACACATAGCAAAGGCTTGCAAAGGATCGACTATTCAGAAAAATTTCCGATGTTTTATTTATTTAGGTTTTTTGACAGAAGTAAGGAATTCATAGAAG